AAAAAAAAAAAAAAAAAAAAAAAAAAAAATCACAGTTAACCTGAGTTGGGGGGGGGCGGGGAATCACCCTGCAAACATCATGTTTGCTTCTTAAAGCCTTTGGCACAAGAGAAGGAGAGAATAATAGGGGGAAAACCCTAAAAGAAAACTATTCAATACAAGTTTAATCATGTCTGTCCAGGTCTTCAAAGCTAAACATTTTAAGCAGAACATCCCTAACTGAACAAGTCTCTGTATTTGAATTCCATCTATTTTGCCACAATAAAGGAAATGAGAAGATAGTGGAATAAAGATTCATGTTTGTGTTTCATCCTTTTTCCCAAATTTTAGACCAGGGAAGATCTGAACATTTTCCTTATCAGTGGCTTTCACTCATTCCAACGAACCATTGTGCAATAAAACTTAAAGCTCCCAAAAGAGAGCAATGACTTGTTTTAAAGTTGTTTTTCTTAATGAGATCCAAACCTCTCTGCAAAATCTTTGGAGAAGTCTGTATCTAATTTAACCTTACTTCTGTTAATAAAACACAGAAAAAAAGGCATAAATCTAGATAATTTGTTTATCATCTACAGTAAATGATGGAACAGCCACTGCATCTATACATAAACTTCAATCATCCATGCCCCTCATGTGGTAAAAAAAAATTAGGCTTTTTTGCAAAATATCTATGTTCAGAGCAAAAAACAATGCTGAAATACCCAGGGCCCAATTCCTTCTACCATGTCTAGTCATCAACACTGTTAAAAATGAATACAAAAAGAATGTCACAATCCACTATTCTGATTTTTCACTCACTTCACAATTGGTGTTAAATAACTATGCCCAAGGTGCAGGACACTGGAGAACCAGGCCTTTATAAAGAAAATACTTTTCTTTTTGCTTAACAAAGGTAACCAAATCGTGCTTTAACCAGTAAATTTATATTACCATCCCATCATCTGATGACACACTGTGGACTGTAAGCTTTTAGCAATGTCTCATGCACCAATTGGCTCAGAGGTACTTTGTAAGCAGGCTGTGTGTCCTGCCAGTAAGGCTTTGTGGTGTGAAATGCAGTTTACTGGTAGAGTAGTAATCAGCATCTGCAAGCTACTTGCTGCTTTCTGCTTCTATGGAATTGTCTGGTTTCAGGATGTTATTTCATTGTATCTCAGTGCAGTTAGCAGAAACTTTCTTATAAAATACACTATATTACAATAATAGATTTGTCAGAACTTAAAGAATATTAGGTGACAGTCAATTCATAGAATTATTATTTGTTTAAAAAACATAATTTGTAAGGAATACAGAGTTCTTTTGGAATAAAAATGCAAGAGGAAAAAAAGGTACTTTCAGACAGGAACTCTAATGCATAATTGAATAAAACCTATGGTCATCTTTGCATTTTTTGCATTCACTGTCAATTCTACCAATGATATGATGTATTCCTGCTGTGCCAGATAGTTCACCCAGGTCAACAAGTTCCTCTTCTCCAGCGCAGTCTTCAAAGTGCTGCAAATGCTGCCCGTATCCCTGCTATCTTGTTTCCCTACATTCACGCTTTTACCTAGCAAACCAATATATTCTCTGTATCTTTAATTTTTACTCTAGGCTTCCAGTTCACTATTTTACATTAATGGCACTTACTGTAAAAAAATTAAAACATTTAGGCACAAAAAAAAAAATTCTGCCTTTCGTCCCTAGTTGTGCACAGAGCTGCATTAGTTCAAGCCACCACCATACTCCTTTAAGGAGTTGGCTTTTTTTCTTTTTCTCTTAGGATCAGGAAAGGTAGTTTTCACTTGGCAAGAACAGACTCCAAAACTTCCAGCAGATCAATATGGGTCCCAGCACATACAGGTTCCTAGATCTATTCTGGATTCAGAGATAGTCAATGATTTGAAGATAAGATTCTATATTCTGTTAGGTCAACTAGACACATTATGGTAGACCTTGCTCCATGACTTTCTCTTTTGTACTGCCAGAGTGAAAAAGCAATACAAAAGTGCAGAATGATTCTGAATTACTTGCATCAGATTCCTCATGGGCTCTGGGAATCCATTGTCCTAGTGAAATACTTGCTTCTCCTCCTGATTTTTGTTGTTTTTGTTTTATTGTTTGTTTGTTTTTTGCTTATGTGTTTTTTGGGGGGGCTTTTTTGCATTTTTCTCTATACAAAATCTCATGATTTTAAGGGATGGGGGTGTGCTGGTTGTGGAGTACTTACTGAGTCTGAATAAACTATACAAAAAGAATCATTTTCCTGTCAATTCAACTGGGTGAATTATTGTACTACGTAAAACTGACATTAAATAATGGAGAGAATGAGAACAAGCACGAGAGAGAATCAGAATGAATCTGTTGGAAGCAATTACTGTTTGGAAGGAAATGGAGCTGCCCCAAATGGATCTAACTCTAATGCCTGCTGCTGCTGGGTCTGTGCACTCTGCAAAACCAGTTCTGTAAAGGGTACTGCGCCAAAGTCATCTGTTTTAAGCCCATCACTACTGTGAATAGGCCCATGTAGGGAGCTCTGTCTAGGTCTACCTGGCACTACTGTGTTATGGTCCCCACGGTTGTCACCAAGTCCTTGATGCTGGGGGTGCTTCGTCAAGTCTGGTGGGTGGAAAGGTTTAGCCCCAAACGGGTCCAGCAGATTCTCATCCACTTGCAAAGGGTTGCTTCGATCTTTGCTGTCAGTCAGTCCAACACTTATGTTTTCCTTAGAGTCTGAGATCGTTAGGAACTCATTGCTGCTCTGGGAGTCCCTGCGACCAGCTTTCTTGTGCCTGCGGGCTCTCTCAGGGGTGCGGAAGCTGGGTTTTGACGTTTTCTTGGTGTTCGTTGGGGTGCCATGGTGACGCTTCCCATTGCTTTTGGACACTTCTTGTTTCATGCGCCTTTGACGGGAGGAAAGTTTCTGTAAATTTCGCTGCTGCTTCACTTTTTGCTGCTGCTGGCTGCCTGTTATCTCATCAAAGGGGACCAGCCCAAATAGGTCCTCTTTACTCTCACTGCTCTTAGGGGTAGGGAGAGGCTGGAATGGGGTGCAGCCAAAAATATCCACGCTTTGGGGAGAGACAGAGGCAATCTGGGTCTCAGGTCCTGCAATCTGGCCATCTTGTTGAGTCACCTTCTTACTGAATGGGGCCTTGGTGAAGACATCAAAGTCATCTTGCTCTTGGCCTAGGCCAGGAAAAGTAGTCTGAGGAGAGAAATCTTTATTATTCTTCTCTCTTGATTGAGACTGAGGTTGAAGAGCAAAGAAAGGGACAGCACCAAACACATCAAATTCTTGATCAGGGCTCACCTTGGCCACAGTACTTGGTAGCTCAGATAAGGAAGTGAGCATTATGTTGACTTGCTTGTCTTCACCATCACCAGGCCCTTCTCTGTACTTACTGCAAGGGATCCTTTCCACAGGTTTTTGCTTGGTGCAATCAGAATCAGAATCAGAGCTCTGCTTTTCTTCTTCCTCCTCTTCTACTTCATCCTCAGAATCCATAAGGAGTGGCCTATGGCCTAAATTCTCAGGTTCTGTATCGTTGTCATCATTAAAGTCTCCATGCTCCCCCTGTAAACCTTCTTCATCTTCCTGTTCTTCTTCCTCACTGCTTTTGGGAGAAGGAGGATCAGATTCAAAGTCACTCTCTGACTCATCGCTCCCTTTTTGCACTTGTCCTTCTGTAGTCTTCCTTCCCGGCCGGTCGTCTCTTGAGCCCTCAATGGACTTGTCTGCCCTGGGTTGGCCCCCTACTTTATTTTCTTGATTGCTGGCTGAGGTATTAATTGCCTTTCCTGGGGAACCTGCAGGGCCAAAAAAAAAAAGACAAAGTAAAACATTAAATGCATATTTACAACTCGCAGTAATTATTTCAGATCCTCACACATTGTCAGGGGACAGTGATTTGATTCAGTGATTCGAATCACTGTCCCAAATCAATTCGGCTGAATCCGATTCAGATATTTCAGATCCTCATACACTTTACACAGATCCTCATACACATATACGCAAGGGTGCATTCAAAGGCATCTCCTACATAAATATTCAGGAAAATAAACATAAAGCTCCATGAAATTTTGTCTTTTCATCTTAAATTAATAGAGAGGGCCACCTATCAGACCTCTGTGCCCTTAGGCTACTGATAAAGCACCAAGCCTGAAAGAACACAGTAGCATGTTTTATTGTCTGTGTCTGCAGTCTTCAAACTGTACACTCCAGTACACCTTACAGGTAAGTGTATACAGGAGACCCTTGCCATTTGCAGGGGATACATTCTCAAGATCCCTGTGAATGGTGAAATCTGTGAATAAGGCACTGTGTTCATGAGTGCAGTGCCCCCGGTAGGTGGGGCGAGTCACGGCTGCACTGGCGACAGCGGGAGCATAAGCACAGCAGCAGCAAGCATGGAGCTCCTGTAAGTGTATTTAAGATGCAGGATTGGCATTTGCGAATGCTGAACCCGCAAATAGTGAGGGTTTCCTGTAGTTGTCACCCTGATGGTATAAGCTCTGAAACAAGGGGTTGGCAAACTTTCAGAAATGGTGGTTTAACATAATGCAACTAGGTCCAAGGCAGATCTCTGCTTTCCTTGCCACTAACATGCTTGTAACCTGCCACCAAATCACCACTGGTTCCATGGGCCAGATGAAATAGCTGGGCAGTAGACCTGTGCAAACCAGCTAGTATTCGCTTTGGATTCAGCTGATTCAGGGGACAGTGATTCGATTCAGTGATTCGAATCACTGTCCCAAATCAATTCGGCTGAATCCGATTCGGAGATAAAGCTGCTGCTGAATCTCCTAATCAAACAGGCCCCACCCCCACCCACTCTCCCAGCCCAGCCAATGGCTGCCCTGCCCAGCATCCCAGCACCTTTTAAAAAAAAAAAAAAAAAAAGCCCCATACTCCCCAGCTCCTGCCAGGCCGGGATGCAATCCCCGCTGAACCCCCCACTGCCCTGTGTTACATGGAAGGGCTCTGCCACGAGCCCCAGAAGCCCCGGCAGCCTCTACAGCAGCCAGTGAGTGCAGGGCTTCTTTTTCTTTTTTTAAAGAGCTGGAACACCAGGGCAGGGTGTGGCAGCCATTGAAGGGGCTGGGAGAGCAGGTGGGGATCAGGGGATGGGGCCTGGTAGGGGTCCCCCCCCATAGTCTACTCTTCCCTCCTCCACCCCCCCACTTTCTGGCACGGAGTCCAGGTCCAGCTCCCTGCAGCAGTGAGTGGGGACTGCCCCAATCTCCGAATCAATTCAGAGAGCTTTGAATCGATTAGGACCTTTTTATTGGTCTCCTGATTAGATTCAGAGAGTCAGCTGCTGGATCAGGCCAAACCTCCTGAGAATTGAATCAGCACCCAAAGTTTTGCACAATGCTACTTAGCAGCCTGGATTCAGCCCATGGGCTGTCAATCCCTGGAGTAAACTTAACTTACTCAACAACCTGCAGCTCCTATTCAGAACAGGAAGTGTTAAAAGGTGCTAAGCTATTATGAAAATCTGTCCTTTGCTTCAAGGTACTTAAATGGGAGCTGCTGGCTGATAATCTTGGGGGGGGGGAACCTGTTACAAAGAGTTTATGACTTGTCATTCACATGGTGGGGAGAAATTGGTCAATGCATGATGGCTATTTTATCTGCTGGCCCATTTTCTGTACATTGTGAATTAATTGTGCCTGACTGCTAATAACAAATCAGCAAGTAATGAAATTGTCTGACAATATTTTAATTTAAAAGTGGTGAACTTTTAGAAAATGTAGACACAAGCTTATAGATGCTTGTACTGAACAGCTGGACGCATAGTGGTCTCTGTGTATAGCGATACTGATTTTATGCATGTGGTAAAATTTAGTAGCTCACTAAAGCAGTGGACATGATATACCTTGACTTCAGCAAGGCTTTCAGTACGGTCTCCCACAGCATTCTTGCAAGCAAGCTGAGGAAGTATGGGTTGAATGAATGAACCATAAAGTGGACAGAAAGCTGGCTGGATCATCAGGATCAATGGCTCAAGATCTAGTTGGCAGCCAGTATCAAGTGGAGTCCCCCAGGGTCAGTTCTGAGGCTGGTTTTGTTCAATATCTTCATTAACAATCTGTAAGATGGGATGGTTTGCACCCTAAGCAAGTTTGCAGATGACACCAAGCTGAGAGGTGGAATAGATATGCTGCAGGGTAGGGCTAGGATTCAGTGACCTAGACAAATTGAAGGATTGGGCCAAAATAAATCTCATGAGGTTCAACAAAGATGAGTGCAAAGTCCTACTCTTAGGCTGGAACAATCCCATGCACCGCTACAGGCTTGAGACCAACTGGCTAAGCAGCAGCTCTGCAGAAAAGGACTTGGAGGTTTCAGTGGACAATAAGCTGGACATGAGTCAACAGTCTGCCCTTGTTGCCAAGAAGGTTAACAGTATACTGGGCTACATTAGGAAGAGCACTGCCAACAGGTCAAGGGAAGTGATTATTCCCCTCCATTTGGCACTAGTGAGACCACACCTCGAGTACTGAGTCCAGTTATGGGGCCCCCGCTACAGAAAAGATGTAGTCAAATTGGAGAGCATCCAGCAGAGGGCAACAAAAACAGTTAGGAGGCTGGGGCACATGACTTTGAGGAGAGACAGAGGGAACTTGACTTATTTAGTCCACAGAAGAGAAGACTGTGGAGGGATTTGGTAGCCTTCAACTACCTGAAGGGTGGTTCCAAATAGGATGGAGTTAAGACTCTTCTCAGTGTTGATGAATGACAGAACAAGGAGCAATGGTCTCAGGTTGCAGCAAGGGAAGTTTAGGTTGGATATTAGGAAAAACTCTCACTAGGATAGTGGTGAAGCACTGGAATGGATTAGCTACAGAGGTGGTGCAATCTCCATCCACGAAGGTTAAGGCCTGGCTCAACAAAGCCCTTGCTGGAATGATCTAGTTGGGGATGAACCTGCTTTGAGCAGGAAATTGGATTAGATAACCACCCTAATTTTCAACCCTAATATTCTATGAGTCGACCGGGAAGGACATGGGCAGTGGGGTCCCGCAGGGCTTGGTCCTTGGACTGATACTCTTCAATGTCTTCATCAGTGACTTGGACAAAGGAGTGAAGTGGCCTCTCTCCAAGTTTGCGGATGATACAAAACTGTGGGGAGAAGTGGACACACCGGAGGGCAGGGAACAACTACAGGTAGACCTAGGCAGGTTGGACAAATGGGCAGAAAACAACAGAATGCAATTTAACACGGAGAAATGCAAAGTGCTGCACCTAGGGAGGAAAAACGTCCAGCACACCTACTGCCTAGGAAACTACCTGCTCAGCAGCACGGAAGCAGAAAGGGATCTCCGAGTCCTAGTGGACTCCAAGATGACTTTGTCACACTGACAACTCATGTTCATCAGCAAAGCTAATGGCACTTCATCGTGCATCAGCAGATGCATGACAAACAGAACCAAGGAGGTGATACTTCCCCTCTGTCAGGCACTGGTCAGACCGCAGTTGGAATACTGCGTGCAGTTTTGGGCGCCACACTTTAAGAGGGATCTGGATAACCTGGAGAGGGTCCAAAGAAGGGCCACTCGTATGGTTAAGGGCTTGCAGGCCACGCCGTACGAGGAGAGACTAGAGTATCTGGACCTCTTCAGCCTCCGCAAGAGAAGGTTGAAAGGTGACCTTGTGGCTGCCTATAAATTAATCATGGGGGCGCAGAATGGAATTGGTGAGGCTCTACTCACCAAGGCACCCCTGGGGGTCACAAGAAATAATGGCCATAAGCTAGCAGAGAGCAGATTTAGACTGGACATTAGGAAGAACTTCTTCATAGTTAGAGCGGCCAAAATCTGGAATGGGCTCCCAAGGGAGGTGGTGCTATCCCCTACCCTGGGGGTCTTCAAGAGGAGGTTAGATAAGCATCTGGCTGGGGTCATCTGACCCCAGCACACTTTCCTGCCTATGCAGGGGGTCGGACTCGATGATCTATTGAGGTCCCTTCTGACCCTAACATCTATGAATCTATACTCTGGATACAAAAACAAGGGATATAAAGACTGAAGATGGCCTGGTTCATATACATGTTTTCAAAAAAGGTAAGGTCCCAAACAATTACATGAGGCTTTCTCCCACAGAGTCATTTTAATTTCAGCTTTTCTAAATCAAAACTGCACTTGTGCAGGTCAAGCACTAGTGTGGCCCTGACACAGCTCTCTTCAGCTATCAGACATCCAGTGCTAAACATCCATTCTCTGGTATGGTGTGGAAAAAAGCCAGAATCTCTCTGCATGAGCACGTGTATAAAGGTACGAGATACTGTAATATGGGTGCAATCCATGGTGCTAACAGGATACTTATTGTAGCTTAAGTATGCAAGCAGTCACTAAGAGTTTGAGCACAACATTTACTGCCTGTGCTCACATGAGATCCAATTGAGATTTTTTAAAAGGCAAAAAAAGTGAGCTTTAACTCCCAAAAAGAATCCAGCTAGGGCTGTGAAAGGTTAAAGGACTATTTCACTGCTAAGCCCAGTGATAACCAGTTAACCTTACCAGTTCTTGTTTAGCGTAGGGCAGAGTAGTCTGGTAGGGAAGGAAAGCCTTGCAGTGCCCCAGCAGGAACCAGAAGGTGGCAGGACAGGCAGGAAGAAAGGAGAGGGAGTGGAAGGGGGGCTAGTACCCATAGTTTATGAGGTTAAAGGGAAAAACAATATGTCACCTCATGTCTCATCAATTAAGCAATTAGCTACTTGTTCACAGGTGCTCCCTCATCTAAGTGGGGCAGTGCCATAGCAACGAAGTCTGGTGCCTGGGCAAAGCCTGCAGCAGCAGCAGCC